TATTACACGATTATTTCAGATTGAATTATATATTCATATTGAATACTATTATTATTAAAAGAAGGGATCATGCACTGTGACCTAAAAGATCTATTGTGCCCCTTAGTCGGATTAGACTGTTTCTCCAAGTCCAATTTCTTTAATAAAAAAGAGTATAGAGCCTATCTATAGTCTTGAATCCTTATGATCCATAAAATACCCTTCTAAGTGTTTCTTTCGCTAGTGCATCAGTGCTGGGCACTCCCTAAGCACATGGTATGCAGTTTCTCTCTCTTCTCTACAGTATTTGCAGTGTGAGTTGAATTGAATTCCTAACTTCGATAGGTAATTATTTACTCTACAGTGACTGGTCAATAATCCCGTAATAATTCTTAGGTTATTTTTTGATTAAATATTTGATGTCAGAGAATATATCACATATATCATACACATTATCACATATATTGTATTATACATTCCTCGAGAAACTCTCTTACTAGAAAATCAGTGACTCATAAATAAATAATTTATAATTTATGGTAAACACTAATGAAATCTTGTTATTGAAAATGAATAAATAATTGAAAATAAAAGAATTTGTAATTAATTTTTTATAAATGTAAATGAAAGCAAGCGAGAAAAACGATTTTTTGAAAAAAATCTTAAATGCTAAAGTGTAAAATTTAAATTCCAAAATTCTTTAAATAATCTTGCATTCATATTTTTATAGGAGAAAACAAATTTATTGGGTAACTTATTGTCTTATCTTTGGTGGTATTAAAAATCAAATGTACATTTCGTTTCGCGTGTTTGAAAGTCGTTTCTCTTGCTAAAATAATAAATTTTAAAGGCAAAAAGATTGACTCGAGATTGAATGAATGAATGATGCAAACTTCATTTTCTCTGTTTAATTTTGCAATATGGATTGTACCAGCATATATGCTATATATGTAGGAATCCATTTACTACGCGCTTATCTGCACCTATTCGACACAGTCATGGATAGATGTGTTTAATCGAAAAGTAAAGAAAAATAGAGCAAAAAAAAATTGAAATCGATTATCTGTTAGCCAACAAACTGAACCGTACCACATCCAATAAGTGCACCAACGCCGTTGGTATATTCTCCGCTTTCAGTTTTCAATTTTTCAAGGTTTGAACTTTCAATAATGTCAAGTATTATTTTCCACAAGCCATTTTGTGCATTTCCGGTGTAAATTGCGTTTGGCTGTAGTTGTGGCGAAGTGGTTAAGAGCAAATTATGCAGAAGTTTTCTCTGTTATTTCATTTATTTTGTTTAAAATTCAGTAAAATTTAATGTTCCGTTAGAAAAAAAATTTCATTTTAAATATAGTTGCTTATACATATTTTTTTTAATTTTTAAACCATTTTGATTCACTAAATTAACAATAGAGATTAATTTAATCATTTGGTATAACCTATTATCACTTACTAAAATTAACAAAAGTAGTGTAATAAAATTGAACATCAAATAGGATATGGTGGACATATATAATTTTAATTACTTAATTATAAAATTCATTAGAGATAAGGTCTTGAATTAAAAAATATATGGAATGGGTATTGTCAATTTTGGTTATTATATACGAAGTTTCAGAAACTAGACAATTTGAACCTAGTAAGGATTTTTACTTTCCTAGTTTAATTCATATAATATGAAACTCTACTATTTTTCAGTTTAATAAAATATTGTTATACTATCTTAAAAAATAGATAGCGTATCTTTATATGGCTTAACATAACTATTATATATTTTGAAAAAAAAATTGCTCAAAATAATTAAACAATTCCTAAGCGTACATGAAAGGAAGGTTTTTTGACAGTTCTGTGCACAAGAAATCTTAGTATTCACATATTTATAAAGACACCATAGCGGCTTTACTCATCTCTCCAACCACAAAGTCATCTGGTTTTAAAGACAAATTTTAAAAGTTTTATTAAGATAACCATTGAAGCTCTACCTATTTCTTAAACTGAAAATCTATAACAGAATCCATATCTTTCGTATCCTTATCTTCCATATCTTTTTTTCTGAGAACTTCTGCAGTAATGCGTGTTCGAAACATTCAATCTAATCGGGTTCATACTTGCAAAATAATGATCGCTAATGATGGATGTAAGCAGATTGACAGTATCATTTCATTTTTAAATTTGGGATTGGATTTTTTCTGTTATGAAGTAGTTAAATATTTAAAAATAAAACAGAGCTGCAAAATTACGATAAACTCGAACAAAAAGAGGCATATTATAAATGTTGATACAACAAACCCCACATATGGGGGCTAACTGAAAAGTGAATCATTTTTGAATAACTAATATTAATATTGTTAAATATATCTATAAAAGATTTCATTATCATTTACTTTAGGAATTATGTCACTGTAATTATTGATTAACCTTATAAATTAAATAAATATCAATTGCTAAGTCAGCTAATTGAGTACTACTCAACTCAGATACATAGGTGGTGATGGATACAGTTGTTTGTTAGCAACTAAAAGATACATAGTAATACCAAATTAGAGTTTTTAAGACAGTTCGTACATATTTTTTAAAATGTCATTAGTAACTTTCAACATCAAAAACTAAGATCATTGACTTAAAGCCGGTAGCTTCCAAATTTAAGTTAAAGTTTTACGAGAGTCAGACAGAAACATTGGAAATGTGTAGCAATTTTTAAAATAGAGATATGTATACTTACAAACCCGTTCTTGCAACTTAAATATATTAAAAACTACTATTAATATTTAGCTTAGGTTAATATGTATCTATCTAATAAAATAATAGAAAATAAAATTGCAAATAAAAAATACCAAACAAGCAAAAACCTTAAATAAAATTATATAAGTTAAAAGTATTCAATAAAAAAAGAATTCTAAAGAAAAATTCTATACAAACAATTTCAATGCTAACAAAGTGCTAGCTAACTTCACCAAAAGTAAGGAATGGTATAAGTAAACAAACATTAGAATAAATGTGAACACCAAAAGCTTTTATATAAATAATTTCGATGTTAAAAAATTGTTAAATAACTGTACTTAAAATGAGCAATATTATGAGAAAAAATTACTTAAATTATTAAATAAAAATTACAAAAAATTCTATGTACCCTATTATGATTTTAAAAAAGTGCTAACTGACAGCAGTAAAAAAGAAGAAGTAAATGTGTGAAATGTTCTCAAATTACTAAATTTCTTAAATCATTAAATAAAAATTTAATATTTTTATAAAAACTGTTTTAATTTTAAAAAAGTGCTAACTAATAGCAGTAAAAAAGAGAAAATAAATGTGTGAAATGTTTTTAAATTACTGAATAAATATGACTTCTAAATCAACAATTTTAGTGTTAAAAAATTGCTCGTTAACTGCACCAAATGAAATTAGAAAATATATCTAAAGAAATCCTTTTAAAAAAATAGCAAAATTTCATAAAATAATTTCTATTGAATATTTCAACAATTTTTATGTTCAAATGCAATGAGAAATGCCTGATGATGAAGAGGCAAATTGTTTTTATTTTTTATTTTTTATTTTTCTTTATGATTCAATGGTAAAAATCTTTTAATCAGACATCAAAGGTGCGAATACTTTATAA